GCATTTAAGCCACTTTGTAAAGCTTCTGATTTCTACTATTCTGTTAGGTAGAAATCGGAAGGATCTTCAACTTCACCGAAAATTATGTTTAGAAGGCTATGACTACAAGTTTCCCCCAGGAAAATGTTCCAATATATTACTGTGTTGTCGGCCATATTCAGCCGACACTATCATGCCCATTAATACTTTGACTGCCGCGTTACCCGTATTCGGTGACGGCAAAACTTCTCATTAGGCCACGTTCTCAATGTCGGGTGACAGTTCTTTGAGTACTTACCAGGGTTAGTACGTATTTGAAAAAAAAAATTATTGTTGATGGTTGAAAGAAATGAAAACGATTATTGCCGACAGCCCAATCCATTCCGTTCACTAAACGAAATTTTGCTTTCTTCGGTATTAACATTTCTTTCTTCCTAACAACCAATTCTCCAAACATGTAATGAGTAGTATCTACACCCCATTTATCAGTATTCGAATCAGAATCTAAAGATGAAATTCTATTTATACACCACCCAACATTAAAAATGTAATACCACGAAAGAGTGGCTCGAAAATTACGCGGAGTTTAGGATTGATCCACGTCACAGAGTTATGCGAATGATGTGAAATGCTCAGCATTCTAGAGCACGTTGAAGAAGATATAAGGGAAGGAACCTGCAGAATGTTCAAGTTCCATGCCGTTATTTCTGTCAGGGAAATCATCATAGGAAACTAGTTCATATCTCAGAGTATGCATGTAATAGCAGAAAATGCCAGGCCATTGTCAACGGAGGCAGTTCCAGCAGACAGACAATTTTACGTTGGGGCATCGTGATCGGCCTGAGAGGGGCAAGTTAGTCCATTTGCATATCCTGGCATTGCCGCGTTCAGAAGATGTACTGTGGTAAATGGTTGACAAGGAATGGAAAGCGATTTTTCAGGACACAATTCGTAGTCTCTGTACCTAGACGTGTTGTTTCGTGTATCGCCATCCAAGGGGGTCATAGAAAACTATTCTGAACAATAGCATGAAACGCACTAGTAAGAAAAAATGGGTAATTTCTTCTACGCTTCTTAAAGAGTGCTACAAAACTGTTACACAGCGGATTTTCTGTCATGACACGAAAACACCATACATTGAACTCACTGGCAAAGACCACATCTTCTCCAACTTAGTAGGGCTTAACGACACCGACCTAAGCATTTCAAATCCTTACAGGATTCCTATCCTTAGATTTAATGACCAAAAGACAAAGTACTCTAACAAACCTTCTACGCTTTAGAACAGACTGCAAACTATGGGACACTTCTATTTTTTTACTCTGACTATGAGGCTAAAGTATCTTAACATTTATGCTATCCTTTACGATTTGATATGCAAGAACATATTTTTACTGATCAGCCACCTGACTCAACTACAGATATAGCTATTTATACAGACGGTTCTCACGCAGAAGTTGGAACTGTATGTGGGTTGTACGTACGTTATAATAACAACATCTTTCAATGGCGAAGAAGCCTGCAAAATGAAAACTCTGTATTTCAAGCAGAATTGGTTGCACTAAAGAAAGTTGTCAACTTATCACACCGTTTCTACTATCCTGTGCCAGTCTGTAGCGACTCACAATCAAGCTTAACAGCTGTAAAAGGTTATAACTGCAGAAACCAAATAGTCTTTGTAATTAAAAAACTGGTTCCTAATCTTTCCCCCGAATCAAGACCAAATTTCACACTGGAATTGAGGGAAATGAATATATTGACCCACTGGCGAAGTAAGCTGCAAAGGGTATATCTCTTCCTTCTTAATTCCGCTACCACGCTCATACTTGAAAAGAATTACCTTGCAAAATGTTCAAATTTCACTACGTACTTATAATTACTTCAAGAGTTATTCACAAAACACATTTATGCAAAATTTCTAGCTTTTGAAGCCACTTCTTCGACTTCCCAACGTTTTCTAATAAGCGTAGATTGAAATTCCCTTTCACTTGCTGCATTAACTAATCCTTTGATTTACTCTTTGCAAAATCTTATGAAGCAATTGCAAAACCGTTGGAACACCTTGACAACAGGAGGACGAACCTTTCAATTTCTACCAAAGGTATCTATGGATATGCTTTCTTACTCTTCAGCACTTACTACTTTAGCAGGTCATGGACCTTTTCCTACGTATTTATACAGATTTGGACTCTCGGAAATAAACATTTGCCAATGTGGGCAACAAGGCCATCCAGACCATTACGTCTTCTCGTGTACTTTAACTAGCCCTTTTCATGTACCCAAACCTTTAGACCAATATTGGAAGCAATGGACCTTGCATGTAATGAAGCCTCCAAGTCCATAAAAAAACTAGTGGACATTTTGCACTTCTGGGTAACACAACCAATGTTTAAATTTCAGTACTTGCTTATAATTACTTTAAGAGTTATTCACAAAAACCAATATATAGACCAATATAAATTTCTAGCTTCTGAAGCCACTTCTAGGACTCCCCAAGGTTTTCTAAAGAACGTAGATTGAGATTCCCTTTTATTTGCTGCACTAACTAATCCTTTGATTTACTCTTTCTTCTCTTTATTTAATTTATTACATTTATGTTAGATTTAATAATCTTGGATGTTAATTCTTTCAACAATGAATTCTATTGATCCTGCTATTCAGTTCACTTTTGAACTTGAGACTTGCAATTCTCTTCCGTTTCTCGACATTCTGGTCACACGTAACACATCCAACTTCAGTACTACAGTTTACCGTAAACCTTCATCGGTTTGCCTTCCACCACACTTTAAATCATGTCATCCGACTAAACAAAAGTTAGCTTCATTTTATTCCTATGTTTTCCGTGCTCTTCAAGTTTGCTCCTCCAAACTAGCCCTTGATGAATAACTAAATTATTTAAAAGCAATAGCTATTGACAGGGGCTTTTCACCCAACATTATTAATCAAGCAGTTAAAAAATTCTCTTCTCAACACACTAAAAGCCACACTCTTATTTTAGGAGATTATAAAAATTCTGTTGTCATTCCCTTCTTTCCATCAATTAGCTATAAAGTTGCACATTATTTGCAGAAATTTAACTTTCGGGTTGTTTACTCTCCCATCAATAAAATTCCAACTTCTATACTCAAGGACCCCATTCCGGATATGAATTCCTGGGGTATTTATAGGATTCCTTGCCAGTGCGGTTTAATTTACATTGGCCAAAACTAAGAGAGCCTTAAAATTTCGCGTCAAGGAACATGAGGCATATGTTAGAAAAAAGGAAACACAGAAGTCTTCTGTTGCTCAACATTGTTGGTCCGAAAACCACACTTTCAGTTTTTCTGCTGCCAAAATTATTCAAAAAAACATCTTCCATTGGAGAACTGGATTTTCTAGAGGCATTTCACATTCATAAAAATCTTTCTGTTCTAGTTAACGATCCTAATTCCAATCCAAATTTGCCTTCGGCTTTTAGAGAAATTATGTTTTAGTTCTGGTTTTGCCAACAGATGGCGCCACTTGCTTATTCTTGTCCAGGCTTTCTTATCTTATCTAAACATTATTTCCTATCTTGTTCATTTGCGGTTTTGCAGCTGAAGATGATGGTTCGGTAAAACCATCGAAACTAGTCCTGTGAAAATTTTGTGAATTAACGCTGATTTTTGTTGTTTGACTTCTGAATCAGTAATCTTGGATATGCTCATCTACAGTTGTTTCTTTATGACATCATTTGATCTTCTTACATGCAAGATCTATTCAATGCCTGTAAATTGATTTTACTGCAGACATAGTGTGTCAGCAGGGAAACTCATTCAATATCTTTAACTGATATTCTGAATGTTAGATAGCATGATGGTATTAACTTATAGAAAACTATAAATTTTTTTGGAAACTCAACTTATATGCTTGTATACTTTAATGTAGTTGAGTTTGGGTTTTTAAATCAGTACAATGATGTATTAACTAATTTTTAATGCAAGTATTATTTCATGTACACCCCACCTTGAGATATGCACATTTTTGAAACAATACTATACTGTTGACTTTTCATTATTAAAGTGGGTTGAAGAGTTAAAATATTAAATTCTTCTAGAAAATCTCTGTTACCATGTCAATCCTATTACTGATATTATACCTTAAGCCTTTAGCTGAAGTTACATATTTTGATTGTTACGGTAATTCCAATGTTACTTTGATCGATATTTTGACTGCTTTTGGTATATGTATGATATTATTCTACCAAGTTCGACTAAACACTGGGAGTCCTGCGGAAAACTGACCACTTGTTCAGTTGACTATTCAGTAATAATACTTAACTTAAATCCTTGTTCATAAAAGCAAATTGTGTCTTGAGAATCCATCGGGGTTGCATCAGACAAAAGCGCAAAAATCATGAATACGTTACAGCGACACGCGTTTCCACAAATGACGCAAACTCTCGATCTACTCTAGCAGTAAACTCTCGTCGAACTCTAGCAGTTTGACGATAGATGGGCTAGTATGTAAGTAGCACCAAATTTAATTTATTGCATAAAAATTGAAATTTTCAATCGAAAAATAACATGTGGTTGGATATTAACTAATAAAAAAAAATCTGATGCGTACACCACATGACTTCCTTGTACGGAATATTAAATTATAGGCATTTTTTCCTGCATTTCGTTTAAACTTATTTTTTCGATATTCATTAGAGATATAATTCGCATTCAATTAATTCAGTTTTCACTTCGCGGCGCATAAAAACTCAAAATATCTTCTCAAAATTTTTTAAAAATTGTTTGGAAATTTTATGTACTTTTGTCTTGTCGCGAAGTGAGAACTGAATTAATTGAATGATAAATATATCTCTGATGAAATTCGAGGGTATATGTTTAAATAAAATGCAGGAAGAAAATGCATGTAATTAATATTCCGTTCAAGGAAGTCATGTGGTGTACGCATTAGATTTTTTAAGTATAGCAGCTATAAAATTAATGTTATAACCAATGAAAAACATTTAAAATTAATTGAAAACTAGTTTTTTAAATTTTGACACGTACCTCATAAATAGCTCTTGTAGATACAAAGGAATTAAAGGCTCCGGTAGTTCTCTTAACCATTGTTTTAAAAGCGATGCGACATCATTTGGCTCAGCGTCGTCTATGCGCTCACCTTTTTCTAATTTCATCTAGAGATGAAATAGGCGCTTAAATTACATATGAATTATAAGATATCTCCAATTAACATGAGCTTTTTAAAGGAGTCTCAATGAAAATTTCAAGAATTATTCACTGAATTTTTGGAAGTAAACATGTTTTTAAACTTTTTTTATTTATGTATATGTAATTAAATATAAAATTTTTTAATTCGTTATATTTATGAAAATATTTGATTTTTTTTTAAAGTTTGATTCATATATCAAATTAGCATCTTAAGAAACATCTTTGGTGCAGACGTTTTAAATTGTTTGGGCAGTTACGTTACTTTACACCACTCACCATGTCATTTATCTTTCACACAATTTGGAAGTTATACTAGTAGCCGAGAGGTGAAAATCACTGAATGCTGTTAGTTCGACCTGTGTTCGTTTTAGCTTGGTTCATTGGATTTGGCAAAGCACACAGAAGCTATTTGCCTAAAAGGTGGGATGTCTTCGTAGAGGGCTTTCAAAGGGAAACTGGTTCTTATCCACTTCTTATCCACGTTGAATATGGGAAAGATAATGAAACGCCCATGCATTCAAACCCGTTCCTTTGAAATCGAGCGAAGTCGAACTACCACTGTTCAGCGACTTTACCATACGTCTTCGGGGAACCTCGACCCGGGTTGGAACCCAGGGAAACGAGCTAATCTCTTGGTTTGTTTTCCTTATGTGTAACGTGATTTTAATTCATTTTGCCTTAAAAGTTCTCCACGAAGGCATTGCTCTCCTGAAACAGGTAGTCCTCCTGTACTCAAACTAAGCTGACCTGGTCGGTTTTCAAAGTGTAACCTTTCGACAAGAAATAAAATCTGTATCTTTCAGATTATCTCTGCTTCAAATAAAAGTATATCTTAAGATTTGAAATCAGTTTTTAATTTTTCAGATATTATCTGCCTGGTATAATTTAATACACTATACGTAATTTGCAATATATCCAAATAACAATTATGATCACTTGCAATTTTATACTAGTTAGATATTTCTAATGTTTACGAAATTTGCAGATGTTACGTAATTTACGTAATGCTCTGCATCCGAAGATCTCAGTAGATTGTAGTGAGGGCTTATTTGATTACGGCAAAGCCTCGATGACTATCTTCCTGAGGGGAGGGATGCCTTCAGGGAGGACTTTCTGAGGGAAAGTGGCTCGTGTATATGTTACACGTAGGAAAAATCGCGAAGACGCCCATGCAGCCAGCCAGTTCTCGGGATGCGAACCTCAAACCGAACTAGCAATATTGAGCGACTGCACCGCTCGGCCACTAGTAGGCCCGTTTTCAGTGAGGGAAACTGGTGCCTATTCATAGAAGTTAACACATAGGCAACCAACCTCTTCCACCGCCAAGACCGCATACCTGGACGAATTTACCAGTTTTTGTGGCTTTAACCACTCATCTACTGGTTGCACTTTCGTAGTACGGACAACAATACATTTATCTCCTACTTGAAAAAAATCCATAATTTTGTATTCGAGAACCGATTTTTAAGCACGAATATTTAAAAAAAAATTTTTTTCAAAATCATTTTAGGCTGCTGTGATATCATGCAACTTGATAAGTGTGGTCATAGAAACAAAAAAAAAATATCTTTAATTTATTCCTCTCCAGAAAGAGTGCTGTCATTACGACCAAAAATCATGGTGGTCCCATCGAGTGTGCAGCAAAGCTGAGAGTCTTCATGGCGGCAGAGCTGTCACAGGTCTCATGAGAGAGACTCGTTTTTTAATTAAAAATGCTAATTTTGGCGCCGAGTGTGACTTTCACTGCTGTATTAAACTAAAAATCAACTTATTTCTAATTGGGATGACAAAAATATGGAAACACCTTGTGAAATGCATGTTTGAAAAGAAAGATTGATTTTAATGAAATATGTAGGTGGCGCTGGCGTTTTTGACTACTGACGCCACCTATACAACTTCGTAAATGTGCTAAACAGTTCAGTTGTTGTCGGAGTACTGTTATGTGAGGTTGTCATTGCATTATGTCAGAGTTAACAGACTTCGAACGTGGGCAAATTGTTGGAGCACGTATGGTAGGTGCTTCCGTAAGCAAGGTAGCCGAGGTGTTTAGTGTTTCAAGAGGTACTGTATCGAAGATTTATTCCGCATATTTGAAAAGCGGAAAAACATCATCTGCTAAATCACAGCGCGGACGAAAGTGTGTCCTGAGTGATCGTGACAGACGATCATTAAGGGCAATTGTGACGAAAAATAAGAAGACCACAGCTGCAAAAGTTACTGCTGAAATGAATGTTGTGTTACCGAACCCTGTGAGTACCAAAACAATTAGAAGGGAGCTTCATAAACAGGGAATTGCTGGCCGTGCTGCAATTGAGAAGCCACTCATCAGTGATGCTAATGCCCGTAACAGGAAAAGGTGGTGTTTAAGTCATAAAGCCTGGACTATAGAGCAGTGGAAGCGAGTAATATGGTCTGACGAGTCTTCTTTCACATTGTTTCCCACTTCTGGCCGAGTTTACGTCTGGAGAACGCCATCTCAAGCCTATAATACAGACTGCTTGTTGCCAAGAGTGAAACATGGCGGGGGTTCTGTTATGGTTTGGGCAGCCATATCGTGGTTCTCTGCTAGCCCCATGATAACTGTGTCAGGGCACATGACTGCCAAGACTTATGTGAACATTTTGGCCGATCAAGTTCATCCCATGGTACAAACTTTGTTCCCCGATGGTGATGGTGTCTTCCAAGACGACAAAGCCCCTGTTCACACAGCTCACATTGTCCAGGACTGGTTTTCTGAGCACGAGGATGAGTTGTCCCATCTCCCCTGGCCACCACAGTCACCAGACCTGAATATTATCGAACCTTTGTGGTCTACATTGGAACGGAAAGTGCGTTCTCGTTATCCACCGCCAACATCGTTATCTGAACTTGCCACCGTTTTGCAGGAAGAATGGTATAATATTCCCTTGGCAAACATACAGGAACTGTATTTATCCATTCCGAGAAGACTGCAAGCTGTTTTGGATGCCAACGGGTTTCCTACACCATATTAAGCAAAGAAACATGTTTTTTTAAAGGTGTTTCCATATTTTTGTCCAACCCCTGTATTTTATGAAAACACATCTAGATCAATTGAAAAAACACCGAATATGGGCATGAAAGAAAGAATTTGTTTTTCTCGATTTATATTTTGTAACACTTACGAATTTTTTATTAACAAACTCCGATTTCAAAGAGAGCAATCGCAATACTGTGCGAAAAAAAAAACATTTTTATCTCCTGCGAGCGAGACTGTGTATCGGAAATTCTAAAGATATGCCCTTTAAAAATTATATTGCTGCTGAACTGAATTTTAGGGTTTTAAGTGCGAACCCCTAGGGCGTATTTTAAAATCTGAAAACCTTCAGATTTTCTTTCCCTCCTTTTTTTTAATATAACCTAAATTTTGCTTGCTATTTTTATCAATTCAATTGATATAATTCAAGACATTTAATTTGCATTATAATATATTCAACTAATATGCATACTACTGTAAGCATAAGAAGATATTTCTAGTGGCATATTATATACTCAGGCACTAAATCGTCCCATTTGATAAATTAAATGTACTATTTCAAGATATACAGATTAAGTAATTGTTTAAGATAGGTAATAATGTTTTAAATTACTTAATAGAAAGGTTTTTGAAAATGTTTTTAATTATGAAAAACATTTCAGAATATAAATTTGGTATAAAGTTGCAAAAATTCCATTTCATACCCTTAGATTTTTTTGTCTTGCAATAGATCCTGTTTTCCGAAGAAGCCCTTCTCTTTCTCGATATTTTAGTAAATAAGCAGTGGCAAATGCTATAAACCTAGAAGGAAATAATTATTAAGAAGCAGATCTGTAATAAACAAGCCGTATTTTGAATTTTTTTCACAATTCTCGTAAATAAAAATGAGCTTCAAATTCTTACGAAGTGGGCCAATTATAAAAATAATGAAACGCATAGTAAACACACTGAAACAGAAATGCCAATTATTCTGCGGGCAGTTAGCATGTTTAACATACCTGAAAGCATGGTTTAGCAGAAAAGAAAGGTTCCATCTTACCAGCATTGCAATATCAAAATATTTAAATTCGAATTCATAATAATAGAAAGTGGTCATAAAAAAACTTCCTCGATATATGAACACCTTGTCGTCTATCCGCCCAACCAATGCAAAATAAGTTTCAGGTATTAGTATTTGAATATATTACGCTCGAGATTATGATGATTTAAAACAATAGAGCTCTCACAGTTACAGTAACAGTGAAAACATTTAGAAATTTTCGAATGGTAACTAGTACAGGCAGAAGCTATGATGGATTTGATCTAGCTCGTCACCCAGATCACCTGATATATCAGTGTATGATTATTATTTGTGAGAAGCACTGCAATAAGAAGTTTATTATGAGACACCAGAATTCCAACGAAATAGTCGTCTGTACAAAGGCTGTCTTGTTAGCTGAGCTATGATCAGCTTTGGACTCTCTCCTCATCACGGCCAAAGGTGCCAGAAACTACGCAAGCCAAATTTGCAACAACACACCCAGAAAATGGTTTGGTTTGGGTCATGTCAGTTTCCCTTAAAACAATAGAGGCAGATAACCTTCGGGGCAAAGCCTCGAAGGTTATCTGCCTCTATTGTTTTAAGGGAAACTGGCTCGTATACACATTACACATGTGGAAAACAAGGAAAAGGCCCATGCAGCCAGCTCGAACCTCTGACCTAACTACCAGTGTTCAGCGAAGCCCGCCGCTGGTGGGCCCCCAGAAAATAATTAACAATTATATGTTTAATTTGTCAGTTTAAAAGTTAAATAATACTTATCACTTATTTCGTAGGCTACCGATATACTGGCGAGTTTTCAGCATTTAATGAATAATCAAGTCAGGTGTATAGCCGTTTCTTTAAATTGTGGTACGAATCCAGCTTGAGTGTGAAGCTTCGTTTTAAACTCGTAAGCTTTTTAAATTCGCAAATTTTGAAGTGTTGTTTGTATAAAAATGGATAGAGAATTAAGTAGTAGATCTTTGAACAGAACAGCAAAGACTTGTGCCAAATAGTTCCGATCTGACGCCAAGTTTTGAGAAACCACCCATTTTAAACGAGCTTAAAAATTCAGATATGAATGCCTTCAAGGACTTGCAGTTTACGAAAGTAAATAAACTGAGTTTAGGATTACGAAACAGTTGCTTAACTGCTTTCAAAGCGTCTGAAAAAAAAAAAACAGATTCTATGCTAAATATGCTCAAAAATTTTAATTTCTGGGAATCATGCATTGAAAAAAATGAGACCGAAATATTCCAGACATTTTAAAAATTCTTGTCAGAAAGTGAACATTACTTCACGGAAAAAGTCACAGGGAGCATAAGAACCAACTTAACCACTTGCGCTACGACTAAACTTCACGGTTGCGGTGTCGGGCGCTACAATATGACAAGCGTAAAGTGTCTCATTTACGCTGCTCCGTGTCTGCGAGTGCATGTGTGTGTGGGGGGGGATGCCTTCGTGGAAGACTTTTTATGGAAAACTGGCTCGTATACACGTTACACATGGGGAAAACCACGAAAACGCCCATGCAGCCAGACCGTTCGCGGGATTCGAACCTCGGATTGAACTACCAGTGGTTCAGCGATTTTACCGCTCGGCCGCTGGTGGGCGCCTTAGTCTGCGAGTGCAATACAGAGCTGGGCTTTAGTGTAGAATTGGGTGCCCCTTCGATTGGCGACATTTTTTTTTTTTAAATTTGGCAATGAAACCTCACTTCTGGTTACCACGATAGTTTTAAATTTGTTTTAGCTTCCCGATTTTATTTAAATGAAAATAGATTGATGTGTACATGGACATATTTAAGGCAGTGCGCAATGCCTAGTTTGCGCAATTCTAGGATGTTTTTTAAGTAAAAACAGATCGATGTGTACATGGACACAGATCTTATGCAATTCTTCGACTTCTTATTTTGGTTTTGTGTAGCGGCCATCTTGAAATTGTGACTTCCTGGTGCCGATCTTGGCATCAAGGAAGAATCGCCAATAAACAAGGGGCACCCAATTGTAAACTTTTACTCAAAGCTGTAACTCAATAAACAATCTCGTTGTTAGGCGACGTGTGCTCTACGTTATTTTCATTCTTGCGCGCGGTTTGAGACAAAAGCATCTCGACGTGCATGGCACGTCTTTTTAGCGCAAGTGGTTAATAAGTCTCCAAAGGTCGTGCAAACAGAAGTCTCCCAAACGAAGTGAAAAGGACAATTGGATTTCAAATCCTACTATAATATGAAAATTCCTTTAAAGCAGCTCCAGAATGATTATTCTTGTCTAGCACTATTCATTGCGGTTTAGTAATTTTAAGATACAAAAATAAAAGCATTATGCGATTATTGTGAGAATACTGAGAGTGCGTCAGGAGGTTATAGAAGGTATCTCACTCGAAAGAAGCCCCGGGAAAAGCGTGATAAATATTAAATAATAAAAGAAAACGAAACCAAATTTTTGCATCTCAAATACATGTTGCTGGAAGTGATCTCCCCCCCCTACCTGGACACACAGTTAAATATGGCGCATCACGTTCGCGAAGCACGTTCGCACGTTCTGGAAGTGTGTTGCTTCCAGAGACTTGATCGTCAATCCTTGGATTTCACGACGGACTTTCTGACGGAAATCGTTGATTTTCATGGTTTGTGTTTGCACGCATTACCTTTAAGACAACCCAATAGAAAAATCTCAAAAGAGATCAAGTCTGGAAAAGCAAGAAACGTGATTCAACCGAGTTCATATTTGCTACAGATGTGTGGCATGTTGCAACATCTTGCTGATACGCCACGTGTCAGCTCCTCATCATCCAACTGGTTGACAAATTTACGAAGAAGGTGCCTGGTACATTTTACTGGTGACAATAATGTGAAAAAATTTGCCCGATCATTGGCCGCTGTGGTAATGCACAAAATACACCCATCTTCCGTGAATGAAAGGGTTCCTTGATGGCTGCATGCTGGTTGTCACTACTCCATAAACGTGTGTGTTTTGTTAGTTCACGTATCCTGACAAGTAGAACCACGTGTAATCTGGAAGCAACATACACGAAAATACAGCACTGTGTATACAAGTGGAAAGAGGTCCCTTTCAGCACCTCTTCTATAGCACTTTCACTTCTCAAACATACTAAAGGGTAACATCTAAAATTATTTTAAATTATGTTAAAATTTAACATCTAAAAATTTGGTTTCATTTCCTTCTGTTATAAGACTTTTATCACGCTTTTCCAGGGGCCATTTTCGAGTGGAACACCCTAGAGGAGGTTAGGGTTACTTTATAATTACAATTTGTCTCAGAAGTACACGAGTGAAAAAACAACTGGGAACCGATAATTCAGTTAATCACCGTCTTGGTCTGATGGTTAGGCAAGAAAGTAGTAATATCATTAAAACAATCGTTATCAAGATTGGTCTAAGACTAACGAATCCACATTAAGAGTGTAAGTATTAAATGCACAGCGCTATAAGCAGATTATAGTCCAAACGCCTCACTCTTGAATTCGCTGTCTACTTTAAACCAACTGCACCGTCGTAGACTGTATTCGGTGGACTTGGAAAAAAAGATATTAACGTCCGCTTACCGTCTTTCGTGATCATGTGAACATCATTCCAAAATGCAATACTATTTCAAGAACACTTATTTTTCTATTTTCCGATAAATCGTCACAGATTGTACAAAAATTTCAGCATGCTTTTATGTGCAGAGACTGTGGAAAAAGCTGTACTCTCGCAACGTATGGGAAAATATCGTTATCATGATAGTTTTTTGGGGTTTGCTAGACATTGTCATAAGCTATTGCACATTTTTGTTGCATATACGATTGTTATAAGTCACTGTACGTACCCGCCCAATCGGTATAGTGGTTAGCGTAGCTGACTGCCGTGTCGAAGGGAGCGGGTTCGAATCCCGGAGAAGGCATGGATATTTGTAAATGTATATTGTCGGAGCGGCGTTCTAAATATGCCGCGAGCCGAAACTCCTCTCATGTGGTTTGGTGGAAGGATAGAAGGGTGGCACACCCGTCCCCCCGCGTACACTCCATCAAAATTGGGGGGCGGAACGGAGCTAAATCGCACTTTCACCCGTTGCCAACACCAGGCGTATCTTGCGCCCTTTGCCAAGAGAAATTTCGTGGGCTTGGCCTCATGTTATTGTCAGACAAGTGAGCATAAGTAACAACATTTTCATTGCAGGGAGTGAGACTGTGCTAGAGATATAGTTCTAAACTTTTAATTTGCATTAATTTATAGTGGAATATAAATTAATACAAATTAAATGTCTTGAATTATATGAATCTCATTGTTAAAAATAGTAAGCAAAAAAGTTGTATTAAAAACGAAAAAATCTGATGTGTACACCACGACTTCCTTGTACGGAATATTAAATTATACGCATTTTTTCTTGCATTTCATTTACACTTATTGGATTGAATTAAATCTACTTCGCCGAAAGCGCATGAACCACAATAGAATAAAGGCATTCTTTAAAATTCATTTTGCTTACCATAGCGACACTCTGGCGCTAGGTTTACTTAACAGTATTATATTTCGTTCATATTATAACTCAGAATGCACAAAATTTATATCATTTAAAGAATAGAATTATCTAATCGTTGCCACATGTTCCTTTCAAATACTATAATAAAGCTAGAAGGATGTATAAAAGAAACAGTTTTTCACAGACGATTGAATATTTCTCATTGAATTAATTCAGTTCTCACTTCGCGAGAAGGCAAAAATACATAAAAACTCAAAACATCTATATTAAAAATTACGAAGTAAATCTTAAACACT